CGGATGACATTACCTAGCTGGGTCGTGAAACGTCTGCAAGAAAACCACCAAGCTCAGAGGGCACCAAGGACTCCATGAAACTGTTCTGCTTTCTGCACCCACAACCACCTATTTTTTTTCTAGGTTAGGCACCCAACAGACCCCTCCTCCTGGGGATCTCACAAAGCTAATGTCAGAGAGGGGGGGGCTTTGTCAAGCTAGCAAGTAAACCCTGAGCGATTGGCAGGTCCCTGCTTGCCCAGAGATTCCAACAACCTCCGGGATTGCGTTTCTGTTCAAAACACGGTCGCTGGTCACCCCAGTATACTGGGATCCCGTTCTCGACTCGACCCACCCAAGAGTTCGTAAAGCAGGTTCACAATCTCCTTCCAAGACTCGGCCGCGTCCTCTCCGGCAAACTCGGCAAAGTGGGCAGCCGTACTGTACACGTTGAGGCGGTCGATGCAGTTCAAGACGAGGGAGATCATACCCTGAAAAACAGCAGAGACCCCCCACACACACACACACTTAAGGTCCAATGGTTTCCCCCTCTGACTGACTTGCCTTAACTTTGCATTTGACAGGCAGTGGGGGACCTGACGTGGTAGGATGTGTGACTTCAACAGTACAATATTGTATTCCTTTAAGCAATAAAGGAATACAACATTGTATTGCATTCCTTTATTGGTTTGCTACCAAACGGCCTTCCATGGGGGACCTGTATCCTGCACGAGTCAAAAAGAGAGCTGTGGAAATATCTACAGACCCCTCACATCCTGGACATAAACTGTTTCAACTCCTTCCCTCAAAATGACGCTATAGAGCCCTGCACACCAGAACAACTAGACACAAGGACATTTTTCCCCCGAACGGCATCACTCTGTTAAACAAATAATTCCCTCAACACCATCAAACTATTTTCTAAGATTGTATTACTATTCTTCTTCTCATCCTTCCTGTTTCTCCTTTTACTTATGACTATAATATTGTTACTTGTATCTTTATGATTTACATTGTTTTATTTAGTTTCCTAGTATGACTTGATTGCTTATTTAATATCCTATAACTATCACTAAGTGTTGTAATCTTATGATTCTTGATGAATGTATTTTTTTCCTTTATGTACACTGAGAGCATTTGCACCAAGACAAATTCCCCCCAAATGCTGGAATGCTGCTATCATGTCCCCAATAGTCTTCCTTTTCTCTAGACAACTCTGTACCCTACATAGTGGTCTACAGCAGGGGTCTCCAACCTTGGCAACTTCAAGCTTTGCTGGCTGAGGAATTCTGGGAGTTGAAGTCCACAAGTCTTCAAGCTTTGCTGGCTGAGGAACTCTGGGAGTTGAAGTCCACAAGTCTTCAAGCTTTGCTGGCTGAGGAACTCTGGGAGTTGAAGTCCACAAATCTTCAAGCTTTGCTAGCTGAGGAACTCTGGGAGTTGAAGTCCACAAATCTTCAAGCTTTGCTGGCTGAGGAACTCTGGGAGTTGAAGTCCACAAATCTTCAAGCTTTGCTAGCTGAGGAACTCTGGGAGTTGAAGCCCACAAATCTTCAAGCTTTGCTGGCTGAGGAACTCTGGGAGTTGGAGTCCACAAGTCTTCAAGCTTTGCTAGCTGAGGAATTCTGGGAGTTGAAGTCCACAAGTCTTCAAGCTTTGCTGGCTGAGGAACTCTGGGAGTTGAAGTCCACAAGTCTTCAAGCTTTGCTCGCTGAGGAACTCTGGGAGTTGCAGTCCACAAATCTTCAAGCTTTGCTGGCTGAGGAATTCTGGGAGTTGAAATCCACAAGCCTTAAAGTTGCTAAGGTTGGAGACCCCTGGTCTTTAGGATGCCCAATCTGTGTTCTAGTCGCCCTGAGGTCAGTAACAACTTGCTTACCTCCTCCTGGAAGAGGTTCTGCCTGTTCTTCAGGGACCGGAGCTTGGTCTGCTTCTCCTCGTGCTGGAGTTCTTCCTCGGGGTGCTGGAAGTAGTTGATGAGATCCTGCAAGCTGAGAATCACCCCTTCAATGGGAAGAGTCACCGGCGTGCTGGACTTGGTCTTCCCGAGCAGGGTGTCCAGGCCTCTGGAGGACGGAGAAAGCAGGAGTCAAAGAGGTTTCACAACTGCCCCCAAGAAGCTAGTCCCTGGTGATGTCCGGGGGGAGGGGGAATAGGACCTGCACAAGGCTCACTTGATGAACTGGTTATAAAGCCCCGAAGTGTTGTAGATCATCCGCGCCGCTTGGGACTGCTCTTGCTGGCAGCGGGTGAGCGAGAGGGCATCGTCCATATGCCCTTCCTGATGCAAGATGGCCTGTGGAGGTGCAGAGATGCGTTAAGGGAAGCTCGTGGGAATCCTAAGCCCAGAAGGGATCTTGGAGGTCTTCCAGACCAGCCCTCCCTCCAACCCCTGGGCCGCAGCCTACTACTGAGCCTTGAGCCATTCAGAACTGGGGCGCAGAAGTGGCAGACGAGTATCGGCGCACATATCCCCAGCAGCGTGAGCCACAGCCAAGCATGCTCATGTGTGCTCCGTGTGTGCGCAAGCGGCGAGCGCGCGGGCCTGCTGCTCGTACTAATGGAGCCGGCTCTCAAACACGACAAACCCTCTGTAGTTAAATCGATGGTTCCCGTATTAGGAGTGCCAACAGCCCCGGCAAAAAGTTTCTTTCGAACTGCTGGGTTGGCAGGAGCTGGAGCAAGGGACGGGAGCTCACCCCATCCAATGGCAGCAACAGGTCTCGAACATGAGCCTGCTGATCCTCAGCCCAGCATTTTTCCCCTCAGGTACCAGTTCTGACCCAGCTCCCCAAACACAACGAACCATCTGAAGTTAAACCGATGATTCCTTTATTAGGAGCGCCAGCACCCTCGGCAAAACGTTTCCCTCTCACACACAGCAGGCGAACAAGTCCGTCCGGCAGGGAGATGAGTAGTAGTCTGCCACATCAATTCATCTCCGCCCCCTGCCTTTTATCCCCAGAGCTAGGGCGGGGCTTCTC